TTTTGATAGTTATTTTTACTATTTAACGGGTTTTAAAGAGCCTGAAGCCCTGTTGGTTTTGGTGGCTGGTAGCACACCTAAAAGCATTTTATTTTGTCGCGATAAAGATTTGGAGCGCGAAATTTGGGATGGCTTTCGTTATGGCGCTGAAGCAGCAAAAGCAGAATTTGGCTTTGATGAAGCCTATAGTTTTAATCAACTTGACGAAATGCTGCCAACGTTATTAGGCAATCATACCAAATTATTTTATAGCTTGGGCGCTGATGCAGGTTGGGATGCACGCGTGACAGGCTGGTTGAATCAAGTGAAAGCACAAAGCCGAACTGGCATAAGTGCGCCAGATGAAATTGTTGACGTGCGTAAACTGGTGGATGAAATGCGGCTTTATAAATCAGCCTATGAAATTGATGTGATGCGACGCTCAGCCAGCATAGCCGCCGCTGCCCATTTGCGCGCTATGCAAAAAGTGAAGCCGGGCAAAATGGAATATGAAATTGAAGCGGAATTTTTGCATGAGTTTTATCGCAAAGGTGCACAAGCGCCTGCCTACACCAGTATTGTGGCAGGCGGCGCCAATGCGTGTACTTTGCACTACAACGCGAACAATTGTGAGCTAAAAGACGGCGATTTCTTGTTGATAGACGCAGGCTGTGAGTTGGATGGCTATGCGAGCGACATTACGCGGACTTTCCCAGTCAACGGCAAATTTAGTGCTACACAAAAAGAGGTGTATGAATTAGTGTTAGCCGCGCAAGCGGCGGCGATAGCCAAAGTGAATGTGAACAACCATTGGAATGCTCCACACGAAGCCGCATTAGATGTGCTAGCGCAAGGTTTTATTGACCTGAAACTATGCAAAGGTAGCAAAGAGGCTGTGATTGAAAGCGGCGATTACAAGCAGTTTTACATGCACCGCACTGGCCATTGGCTTGGGCTGGATGTGCATGACGCAGGCGAGTACAAAGACAAAGCAGGTAATTGGCGCAAGCTAGAAGCAGGCATGATGTTGACTGTAGAGCCAGGTTGCTATATTCGCCCAGCAGATAACGTGCCCGAGAATTTTTGGAATATTGGTATTCGCATAGAAGACGATGCACTGGTCACGCAAGCAGGCTGCGAAATCATCACCAAAGACGCGCCAAAAACCGTTGTGGAAATCGAAAGCGTGATGGCGCAATAATGCAAAAAACTGAAAATATTTTGATTGTAGGTGGCGGCCCAGTCGGCATGGTGTTGGCATTATTGCTGGCCAAACAAAACATTGCCAGTTCCGTGCTAGAAGCCCGCAAACAAGGTGCGGCAAACCTCGACACGCGAGCACTGGCCTTGTCTTACGGCGCTCGACGAATATTTGATGACTTGGGCATTTGGCAATCAGTCGCCGCGCAAGCTACCGCCATTAACACCATTCACGTGTCGCAAAAAGGTAGCTTTGGTCGTAGCCTTTTAAAGGCAGAAGATTACCGGCAAGAAGCACTGGGTTATGTGTTGTCTTATGGTGCGTTATGCACTGCACTCAATGCGGCAATGGCGCAATTTTCTTGCATTAACATCATTGATGAAGCACAGGCAGAAGCGATTACGCATGATCAACACGTTGCGACGGTGCATTATTTACGGCACGGAGAATCTTTTGAGTTAATCAGTGCGCTTGCGGTGCTGGCCGATGGTGGGCACAGCCTAGAAGAGGTGGCAGGTTTAAAGCGCGATACTAAAGAATATGGCCACGATGCCCTAGTTAGCAAAGTGTGCGCAGAGTTACTGCACAACAATATTGCATACGAGCGCTTTACCGCGCAAGGGCCAATGGCTTTGCTACCGAATGGAGTGCATGATTTTTCATTGGTATGGACGGGTAAAAAAGAGCTGATTGCACCTTTACTTGAGTTAAGTGATGCTGAGTTTTTAGCGCAATTTCACGCGCAATTTGGCGATAGAGTGGGGCGCT